GAACCGTATGAAAATTGGAGCGCGCGACCGAAAAAGTTTCAAATAATAATTCTGGAGTCACGAGATGAAAAGCCATCGACAGTTAAATCCGCGGCGAAGTAATGCATCGCGTGTGTACATTTAGCGCCGGCTAATTTCGGCCATATTGAATCTTTTACCGGTCGGCGAGTAACGACACTCGATTAAATTTATTTGCACGAAGTTATTCTATCTTGCGCGCGAATAAAGCCACCTGCATCGAGGATCGATCGTACGAAAGACAAAAAAAGATCTTTCTCCTTCTTTCTTTGTATTTCTACAATGGATTTTCGCAATGCCAAATGCGGTAGTTAGATTCGGATTTCATATTCACTATCATATGCCATTATTAGGTCGATAGAATTTAGATCGCGTTTATAGCGCCAAACGATAAGTAATGCAGTAAGAATATGGATCAAACATCCTCCTTCTATGTATTCTGCGGAAGAATTCCGTTATTTTTAAACGGAGATAGTATGTGTGGAAAAGGGAATGTTTTCTAATTAGATTAGAAGCGGTGTCTACTCGATCAGTTCTGTCATTGATGTCTCTTAATTGATTTCGTTAAAACTTTTACACTTCTCAGACGATATAACAGTTTATTTATAATTTTCCTCGTTTTAGAAACAGTCTGTAAGCTTGACAGAGAATATATTAACTACAATGCGGATGTGCCGTACGAGAGAACGTATCGTACAAAAATAACATTTTGTTGGAACGCGAGAGTCATTAGAATTCATCAAAATAATTCCGAGATCAGTTTCAAGAAGATTAGTTTTGAAAAACGATCACGAGCGAACGTCGAAGCGTCCGATGAGAATCGGCCATAAGGATATTAGGCTTGGCGACAGCAAAATGTAAAGCGAGCAGCAGTCAGTCGCTTTCGAGCATTCGTCCGCGAGTAGTTTCTAGACATTTATAAAGTTTCGAATCACCAGTCTCTACCGTTTTTCTTTCATTGTATTTATATTTGTGGGGTATACATTCTATTATTAACCCTTTCAGGATAGGGGGTTGCTCGGGGAGATAATTATAGGGAAGTATGTATTCTATGGGTTTTTGGGGTCGTTGAATTCTAATCTGAACTTAGATTTTTAAAATTCTGTAATCCAAGATGGCGAAAAAAATGATCAATAATATAAATATAATTTAATTTCCGTAAAATTAAAACTATGAAACTTTTTTGAAAACTAAAATCGAATATTTGAAATTCAAAATGCCGACCAAGGAAAAAAATGTTTAGATCTGATTTTTAGATAAATTGCCATATTTGATCTGTCATTTTGAATTTTACATTTTTTACTTTAAATTTGAAAAGAGCACCTCAAAAAACCTCTACATATCAATTTTTGTGAATATCATATCGATGGTTTTTGAAATACATGCATGAAGGCCGTAGAGCATCAAAAGATATCTCCCGTCCTGAAAAGGTTAAATTCATAGTTATTCTATCGACTGTTTCACACACTTCTAATTTTCATAATTCAATTTATCGGCTTAGCATTTAATCGTCTTGCCGATCTGACTTTCATTCAATTTGTCTACAATTTCGTTGATAAAATAGTTGTTGCTCATCAATCGTTTAATTTTACTCATTCTTTCCAACACTGGTAATCGCAATTCGTCTCTTCGTACAGCAAGTTAAAGTGAGAAAACAACTGATATTGCTTGGTGAGTTATTCTTACGAAATTCTCACATGGAATTTTCGATATTAAATATTTCGATATTAAGACAGCGATAACTGTGGTATGTCGCATGCGATGGAAGATATCGACGTGCTCGAAATGCCGAATAACGCATTCGTACAATTTCTGTCTCTGCGAAATATGTAATTCTAAAAAATAGTGGTACGCTCTTTATTATATTGTAATTATTCCCGTTTCCGGAGGATCTTTGACAGCAAAGAAATCTGCTTTGCAACTGCCGTGAATCTGATTGATGTATGTTCTTAGAGGAGATTAGTATCGGTTGTATAACAAAAATATTTTTTACATTGTATCTTCTTTATTATTAATCACAAAGAAATTAAATTTTACGTGAAAATTTAAATGCATCTTTAGCGCGCGCTTTAATTTTATAAAAACACATTTATAATTACTCAAAATCTGGAAAGTTATTTGAGCAAAACAACAGCGATAAATTATGTTGCAATTAACACCTACATAATCCATCAATGTCAATTGTAATATGAATTTTAACGTTCAATTCATACATTCGTATTTAAAGATCAAAACAATAAGAATGTCCTAGGTTAGGTACAGTTGGTTAGACATGACTTAGATATAATAAAGTTGGGAGCTCAAACTCTGTAAAAATTGAGAACCGACAGACATAATAGTAACAATATAATTAATAATATAATTAATAATAAAAGCGAATAATAAGACCAATAATAATATAATTAATAATGTAATTAAGGCTCCTTCGCCACGGCCATATTGATATTTATGACGTCAGAAGAGCGAGAAAATACGTGTTAAAAATATTTACAAAACACGTTGAAATAAAAAATGATATGTTTGAAAAATGATACTTGCAAGCTATCGAGTAGATCCGTGAAATATTTCAAAGACTTCCCTCTTATTCTAACAATCAATAAATTGCTGTAAAATTAACGTGAGCTTATTTATATACGTAAGCTTATATGATAAAATTATAACAGAAGATAAGTTGAAGAGGAAGGTTTGCATATAATATTAATTTTACGGTTATTTATTAATTACTTGAGCCAAAGCAAAGTATTCAGACTATTATGTTCTATTTTAAAAGTCTGCTTGATTTATTTAATGTATATATCTTTCTATTCCAACGTATTTTGCAAAACTTTTTAGCGTATATTTTCTCACTTCTGACGTCATCAATTAAGAATCCCGTGACAAAGGAGTCAGAAACTTTAAAAACACTAAATAATAAATAATAGTAATAATTAATTAATATAATTACAGAGCAAGCCTGTCACAGAGTAATAATTCTCAATTTTAACAGTTTGGTGGAGCTCCCAACTTCATTGTGTCTAAACCGTTTTGCAACTCACTGTATTGTGTCCGGAAACAGGTACTTTTACTCTACAATAGTTGCAAAGCAGCTTCTTCTGCTGAAACATAGTCAATGGCTATGTTTAGCAGAACTCAACGCTTCGTAAACGGTTTAGTGATACATTGCAACAGTTTGAATGTTACTGAACGCTCTTTGAGCGTCACTGTTGATACATACATACATATACATACATGTATATGTGCAACATCGAATTGTTAACCTACTTCTACAGCTAAGTTCGTCTTACAACTTAGCTTATTATGTCTTGTACGCATTCAAGCTGGGGACACGAAATTTTGCTCAATACACGTTGCGCTTATTACATTCAGCGTACTTTCGGAAAACATGGCGATCGCTGAGTAAACGTGTTGCATCGCTCAGTGCGTTTAGTAGAAAATCGTTTAGCAGAAAATCATAAAAAGGTTGTGCAACCGTTATGTCCTGCTAAGCGCAGCCAATGATTTACCGTCACGGACACATTTTTCCCACGATCATCGCCGTCGCGTTGCCGCCAGCGCGATGTCGTTCCGATGCCGTTTGCGGCGACTATCGAACGGTATCGTCGCTCGGGATACTCCGATACCGAGAACGCGCGAGTGAGGGTATCAATACTCCGTTATATTTAAACATCCCGGCTACGAGCGGTGACCGTAGTAGTGTCCGCCGGCGGGCACTTCCGCGTAACCGACCTCGGCAAGCCGGGGCGAAACGAGGTCAGGAACGGCGCGCACGATGCCGAATGAGGGTCGCGTTCGCTTCGCGGCCCACCGGCGCGGCGGCAGCTAGCTGCTGCCAGCCGGGGGTAGTTCGCCCGCTCGGAGCCGCTCGGCTCGATTCGACGCGGCGACGACACCGTCGCGGCACTCCACCTGCACACCTGCAACGCGCTGCCACACACACCTGCGCACGCGGGTACGGGGTGTCCCGGATTTATTGCATTTCCTTTCTCTCTTTCTCTCTCAGCTTACGGTCCTTCGCGAGCTCTCGGCCGGGATGATCGTTGGTCCAGCCGAGAGCTTCTTTCGCGAAAAGTTCGAGACGAGGGAGATTCCCTTTATGCGAAACATGGGATTCGACGGATCAGATTCCCCCGATTTCTTTTTTTTTTTTTTTAAGTCGGGTGCAGCTTTAGACAGATAGTATCTCGCTCTTTTGGGTTTGTATTATATGTTCCCCCTTATGGTCGATGATGGGATATATGGAAAGAAATGCGATGACCAAAGTGTTGTTCAATGAACACACATCGAGACGCGTGTTGTTCGAGCGTGTAAAGTGTGTTAATATCCGGATAATTATAGTTTCTCGGGTAATCTCGAATGAAATTCGTCTCACGTTGGTGCCAATCCGATCTGACGAAACGTCGTGTTTCGTTCATTGGAAAATTATTCTTGAAAATGACCCGGGGGAGAGGGGGGCAAACGTCTTCGCATTTCAATAGCATATTTAGCGTTAAACACAGCCGTCAGATTCTCCAGCTGAAATAACGTTGTGCAAGATAAATAGAGCTCAGAATCGACCGTGTATAACGACAACGGAACATTGCAGTCGGAACATGGATCCAATACGTGTTGGAAATTATTCTCGAGGATTAAAACTCGCGCAAGTTCTCAGAGCTCGATTAATTCTCAGTCAATGCTCTCTTTTGTTCTTCTTACTCAGCTGCTTTTATTAAGATTTCCCGTGAATTATCGACACTGCAACATTGGACCGTCACTATAAGTAGCCCACTTTACGCTACCTGCCGTCGAAGACCAGATACAGATAGGTAGGCGGATAGGTAGGTCTGCGACACCCCGTATACACGTGCATACACACGCACACGAGCGAGCTTGCCAGCGGCAGTTCGTGCGCAGGAGCTATCGCGTGTCGACGAGCAGGGGTGCGGAGGTTGGCGGGGGTGGGCGTCCTCGCGGCGGTTCTCGCTTGTACGGCGAGCGGTCTCGGCGTCATTGGGCGTCGGGACGCCGCCACGACGCCGCGCTCTCGACTCCGGAACGCGAAAGCGCGATCGCGAAGTGCCGTTCCTCGCGACACGAGGACCGGGATCCTTCTCCGGGGATCCCTCGGACGAACGTCCTGCTGCGAGCTCGTGAGACACCGCAAGTGAACGGGCCATTTTCTCACGGTAGGAGGGTGACAACGCGCCCTCGAAGAGGGTGCGAGCCGTGCGGCGTTGATCCGCTCTGAGGCAGATTTCGCTACTCCGACGCGTGTTGCTTGATTTCTCGGGGACAAGGTCGATGCGACGAATGGGGAAGGAAGGAGCGACCACCGTCGTCGTGGACCGTCGAACCAGTTGTCCTCGGAAGTGACAGCAATCGCGAGGTCCTGTCTGCCAGCGAGATCACGCGGGGACGTTCGATTGCAGATCGATCACGGTCAAGTTGATCTTCCGGAAGACCGACTCGGGTTTCGTAAGAAGGATCGTTAGTGTGTGTGTGCGCGCGCGTATGTTACGATCCGTCGACGAAGGTGAATGAGAGAAGACGACGTGATCTTCGCTACCTCAAGGAACACTTTGAAGATTCTTGGTTTTCGAGAAAGAGAGAGAGAGAGAGAGAGAGAGAGAGAGAAAAAGGTGTCTTTTTACAGTTTCGATATTCTTCCAATCAAAGCCGTGCGTTGCTCAAGAGATCCTCACTGTTCTCCGAGGGGATTTGTAGATCTTGTATCTTGAAGGAGAAGAGGTGAAAGGATTCAGTGTAGTGGAGAGTAGTGCAATATTTTTCGGAAGTGTCTTAAACTCGATATATACTTAAAGATACTCAAAGTGCTTGTAGATCACAAGTTCACAAAAAAGAAGAGCAATCTTTCGATCGAGGAGTAAGAAGAATCTCGTAATAAAGAACGTCGCGGGCAGCATTTTTGCGAAGAATTTACGCCCTAATCCACTCAGCACCTCGCTCAAAAATGGTCCTTAGCATCGCGAGGACGATCTATGAATTCTAAGTTCGCAAGCGAGCCGGCGAGCACTTCTCGCGGTGGAGTCTCGCTGAATATTTTCGCGAAAGGTTTCGCTCTCGCCATCCTGTACGTACGTGATCTTGGCGCACGTAAAAAGTGTTGACCCTGCAAGAATCTATAGACCTCGAACCTGCGAGCAAACGAGATCATTTGCGGCGGGAACTTGATGGATACTCTAACGAAGCGTCTTGCTGCTTCCATCTCGTATCTAACTCACGGTGTATCCAGAAGAGTACCCTCAACGCGTTGGACGAATCAGTCGCGAGTGTTACACCTCCGAGTAAAGAATTTTGATCGCGGTACTCGCGACATATTTGGAGCCACCCATTTAAAGTCCACTGGATACTTCCGTTGAAAACTAGATTCGTCTAGTTGTGGTCGATTCGTCGAAACTGAACCCAAAGTTCCGAGAGGGACAGGCGATCCCCCGTGGCACCTCCATGAGCGCTATCGCGAGGTGTCCGACTCACCTGACTGCGCATTCAGCCATTTCGCTCAACCGATCACCGTCTGGCTGAGAAACCGTCACAGAAACCGGTAGTCAAAGAGGGATACGGGGGAGTAGCAGCTCGCAGACAGCTAAGTGACATCTCGAGAGCAGTCACGCGGAGCACCGGCGGGGCGAGGTGAGGCGAGGAAAAGCCTCTCCTACCCTTGCCTGCCTGTCTGTCTACCGCGCCATCAATTCCGCGGACGGATCGCGCTTCCGCTGGCGGGACAGTCGGCCCTACTACGAGCGTAGGATTCCGGTGTGTATGTATGATGACGATGACGATCGCGCCGCGGGGACCGCCGAGGTGACTCGCGGTGGCGGCGGCTGCTCTCCGGGGACCGAGCAGTGGTACCGCGGCTCGCGGGAGGATGTCGCGGGCGAGGGCGGGCGGAAGATCGCGCGCCGCAGCGGCAGAACGCATCGTCCTCGACTCCTCGCTCCCGACGGACTGGCGGTGGTAGGGCCGATGGAGCATGACGGTCTAACGACGCGCGTCGTCATGCCGCGCGTCGCCGGGACGCTCGCGACGCGCTCGCTGCCCCTACTGGCGGCCCTGGCGATGCTGCTCGTCGCGCTGTTATCCTGCTGCGCTCGCGCCAGCGAATTCCCCGAGCGGGAGTGCTGTGACCTCATCTTCCCGATCCCGGAGCCCACCGGCAGGTCCACGTCTGCACCGACGCCGACCGGAAGAAGCGGTGAGTTGTTCGCGGAGATTGTTGGGTAAATAATGCGAGAGGGGAGCGCGCCTCCGTTCGAGAGGCGTCCTCGTGGGAGCGTCGCGTTTGGCTTGTTTTCTGCTGCGAACGCGCAGTGCTTGTTCGCTGCAGTTATCTCTGCCAATTATCCCTCATGGTCTCTGTCATGCGAACAATGCGAAACTCCGAAAGACCTCTAAGTCTACAATCGTGACAAGTTAAGATGTCTCACTTACAAGACACATAGAAGTGTTCCACGTTGATTTTGACGGGCTTTGAATATATTGCGGAGCGACTTCAAGTAATATACAGGGTATCCCTGTTCTCACGACTTTAATTTGTATCGACAGGTTCTCTCAGCAATTAGCACTCTGAGCAAGAGGCATGTTTTCTTTATATATGCTTTCTCGCACGTTGAAACAACTCCTCGAAGGAAATCCGGTAAAATTGATGTATTGTGAGCAGATAATCTTTCTCTGAAACTGATTGGGGTGTTTGAGAAAATGTTTTAAACGAAAATGTCACGGAATTTAGTGTAATTAATATTTTTACGTTTGAATTTTTGAAAAGAGTGAGTATGAATACATGAAGAAAGGTATGTTGAAGAATCAGAGTTTTTAGAGAGAAATACACAGTTATAATGAATGTATAGTATCAAAGCACTTGTCTAAGACTAACACTTTTACATTAAATTTCATCAAATTAAAGATGGTTTCAACCCCTAAATGTGCGAAAAAGTATAATAGTATTTGACAGGATAGATTTTCTTAAAAACAAAGATTGTACGGAGTTCCTAGCCAAAGGCAGGGTATTTTACGCACAAATAAAAGAAAGCGCGCGCGTGAAGAAATGACAGGTGTTCAGATTATTAATGACATTCGTTGATAAAGGTCAATATCGGCGCGCGGTGCGCAAATTTTGGTTTTTAATGAGAGATATCGGAGGAACATAAAGCGGGTCGCGAGCGTGAAAATCTGCTTTCATGTAATTCGCGCACAACGCCGGTTATTAGTGGAACAATGAAATAATATTCCGCTACTAATGGCAGCGAGTTGGAAAATAAATTTCAATCTAATTGCAGCGGCGCTACGCGGCTAACCGTCGCGTGGGCGCGTTTTCATTAGTGTTCTGAGAATTAAATATCGCGCAATATTGCCACGTGAAATGTACTTCTGTAACTATTTCAGCCGCTGGACGCTACATACGCACATGGAGACATGCGTGCACCGACCTATGAAAGTATTTACAACAATTTGAAATAATATCAAGCAGAAGAGACTAAACACGAAAATAATAAATATGTCGTACGCATGACGTAGCTTACATTCTTTCTGATATATTATAATAAGGCAGTCGCATTTCTTCGAGCGTAATAAACGTAAAGTAAACTGAAATAGACGCGAAACCGCAAATTCCCAAAGCAAAAATGTACAGGAGCGTCTACGAGAGCTTGTAATCGTTCGCAGAGAATAACTCATGTGTTGTTTTCGAGATAAAAAAGTGAGGGAACTTCCGTTTTACCTGTTATGTAATAGAATATTCTATTTGACTATAAACTGACGCAGGGGAAGGGGAAGAAGATCCAATAATTGGACGGGAACCAATAACTGTAGGTATGCCCTAACCACGTTCCGCTAACCGCAGCTACTGGATACTACGATTCCCGTTCGCGGATGAGCGGATCATTAATTTGGTTACAACGGGTTATTAATTTAACAGTGCGTTGCCAACTCAAGCTCACCACATCGCGAGTTTAATGGCCGATCCGACGGATCGTGACTCGCGTGTTTTTAATACTCGCGTTTTAAGGCCGCACGATAAATAAGAATATCGCCCCGAGCACACGAACTAACCTGGCGGGAACCTACCACGATTTTCTTTGGGATTACGATTTAATCGAAGATTTCCATTACGCAATCTGCCGATAACGTTATAAATATCCAAGCCAGAAAACAAGTTAAAGAACAAGCTAGAGAATAAAGAGCTTCAGAAAAAAAAATACTTGACAGAGAGACAGAAAGACAGAGAGAGAGAGTGGGAGAGAGAGATGGAGGGAGAGAAAGAGAGGGAGAGAGAATCCTACGATGGGAGTACGTAGGTTATGTTAATTTGTTCATTAAAATGGCATATGTTCAACAGTTTTTCTTAAATTACTCGTCTACGGAAAGTAAAAGACTAGACTTGCCGGGACAGTTATGAAGTACTTCTCGATGACAATAATCTAAGAAAGAAAGAAAAAAATATGCAGTCGGGGATGTGTATTTCTAAAGGAAGATGCTGGGTCGGAGGAAAAGTCTGGTTTGATTCTTAAATTAAATTTAACTTTATCATGTTTAGAACGAATTATTAATCAGTAATCATTTTTATTGTCTACGATACAAGTGTTTTGACAGGATTCGTACACTTATATAATCAAAAGGAATCATTAGGAATTTATAAACACCTAAATAACTTTAACAGGGATAATTGTTAAGCTATCGCTATATTAAGACCCAGTTCTAGACAAAAATAGGCTGTTGATACTCTGCGAATTCAAGTTTGTTATTTTATCTCTTTTTATATACCCTCGACAATTCCTCAGCAACTCAAAAAAGATAAATTATCCTTATTAAACACTTCGGGAATCTAAGATTCAGTTATATATACTAAGATCCAGTTCTGTTTGGCAAATAATTCTCCCTGTCTCACAGAATGGCTTATCCCACGGCGTGGGATAATTCTACAGAAGACCAATGACAACACACTTCCCTCCTATCATCGTCTGAACCTTCCTTCCTACTCTCTGCTTGAAATCACCAAAACCTTCTTTTTTTATAAAAAAAGATAGCTTGTAAGGAAAGCTGCAGTTTCAGCTCACCCTGCTTCTTGATGAAGTGAACTGAAATGTTCACGAAATACAAGGAAAATGCAGTCCAAACCCGGGAAACAAGCAAAGTATTGGACAAAATCCTGCAAAAGCTTAGAAAACCAAATGTCTCTTACTGTTTTAAGCTACGTCATTTAACACATTTAAACGTATTAAATTATAATTTATACGTCTCTCTAAAACACATAAAAAATGACGTGTTTTAAACCCGTAAGAAGTGTACAAAAAGACCAGTCAAATTGCACGCTTGTGCGTTTAAAAATAACGTACTTGGATTTGCTAGTGTAATATCTATTTTGCCAAGTAACAGTAAATTTCGTCACCATAGAAGGAGGAGGGCATACTAGGTGGCGGCGAGATGCCGTGCGTTCGAGATCTGCGTATTTTTTTCGTTCCAGAAAGAGAAAAATATCGAGAGCGCGGTCTTGCTAGGCCGGGACTCGAACCCGGGTCTTTCGCTTGCCGGGCGACTGCTCTAAAACCACTGAGCTACCACCTGACGCTCCACGCTCACGACACTCTCCTCTTCCTAGATAACGCTCAGAGATGCCGTTCGGAAGCGACATCTCTGGCGCGATCCCGAGCGCACGGCGACTACAGAGAGAAACAATGTTACTGTACCAAATGGTACAGCTGTCAGTCTCTCAAAATCAAAGGTTGCTATCCTTTAAGACCTGCTGTCCATGTATGCCCGTCTCCACCGTTGCCCCTCCTCATCCGGTGCAAATAATACAAATAAGCCCCGGGGTCGACACCAATTTTTTGGCAGCCCCCAGGTGCTTGGACGCAATGCGCCATGGGGGATCCACCAAAGAAAGGGATCCAACATAGCAAACTTTCTAATAACACATTTCCGTTCCAAAAACATAAATAGCACATTATAGAATGGAGAGACAAAAAATTGGATAACTGCAGGATATCAATTATTGCGAAATTCTTTAATAGCTTTTACTATAAAATTCTCTCCATGCACACATCTATTATACAAAAAGTGGGAAAGTTTTGCCGTTAGAGAATAATCGAAAATCGAACCGAAGCTTTTCGATGACCAATAAGATTGCAATATAGATTCACAATATCAGTTCTAAATAAGATCCGATATAAGTTTCATTTGTACCGCGCCGCAGAGCTACCCATTAATCATTGCGCAACGAATCCCCGAGCTTAATGAAATAACTAATATCGAAAATCCATAGAATCACGTGGCCTGCAACGTATAATCCGGCGGGGTGAGTGAAACTGGGCTCGCGACTTTCTCGAATTAGCTGGCGGGCCGCTCGCACTCGCGCCATGTCGTCGGTGTATAAAGTAATGAGGGAAGTTACCGCGTAATTGGTCGCATTATTTGTGTCCGTGAGCGGTGAGTACCTCGGCCTCGTACGGGATGAACTTCGATTGAGGTCGTGCGCGCGCGCGCTCGATAGAAGGTTATATGTGTACGCTCCGCGCGCATTAAGGCGCACACGACATAAGTTCTCCGAGCTGGAAGTCGTTCTCATACTCCGCTCTTACGGAATTCCTCGTACGAGACGGTGTCGCCTATACGTGGCCGTGCCACGAGAGCGTTTAATGATGAAAGACCATCAACTCTCGATCCGCTTTATTCCGACGTACGCCAGTCTGTTCCGCGGATATCGCGTGGTTTGTATCATTTACGAGTACGTAGCCGCTAAGTATGAGCCGCTATAAATAGAGAGTTCCACGTAAATCCGTTGAGAGGCTCTCAGCGCCGCGTCCAAATTTTTCCCCGACCGAAAACGCATCTCAAGCTTCATTCGAGGCGCGCGTGCACGAGCAAATTACGGCGATGTAATAACTTTAGCCGATAGCGTCGCCGTCGCCGCCACCTGAATTTATTAACGTGTGCTAAGAGAAATTTTACAGACATTCAGTAGGTATATGTAGTAGTTGGTATATTGATGAAAAACTTAGCCGAGCGAAATTTTCACTGCGTTACGCACGGATCTAATTACCGCCGCTTATTCGCCGCTTAAACTCGCTCGCATTCATTTTATTTTATCTCATCGTTCACTGCACTTTGCGTCGAATAATTCTTTATTACCGCGAGCAATCATACGCATCGAGTGTTCAGTCTGACGCAGCGGAATGCCGTAGGATTTTTAGCGTTTATTCG